TTGTGAAGGTTCCTCAGAACCAGCCAGGAAGTGGCCAAGTACAGTAAGCGGCAGGGTCACAGACCCCAGGCCAAATGTGGGTGGTCCATTAGCTGACCCCAGGATCTGGGAATTTAATCCCAGGATGTGGAGCATCAGGACAGGCCCTGGAGAATCTGTTATGTTTGAAACTCACATTAAAAAATCCCAGAATTTGGTCCAACACTTCACACACCAATCAAGAGAATGCAGCAGAAAACCTAGCCACTCCTTCTCAGCTGGGAAGGCCCATCCCTGGCCCCTTTCAGCCCCCAGCCTTCACAGGGGACCACCTTGTACACGAAACGCCATCTGTGAGCTGTGGGGAGACAGGGTGGGTGGCAGAGAGGGAGGGAGCAGTGACATTTACTGCAGGGGCCTCCCTGGAGACAAAACCTTCAGCCATTACCCCCATTCCCACCCATTGGAGTTGCTCTTTGGCCACTAGAGGGCGCCCAGACTCTGTGCAAACTGGTACCACAGAGGAGGCTGGTGGCAGGGGTTCTCCTCTCCCAGGTGGGCCTGCGACCCACAACCACCCCCACACTCCCAGCACACCCAGCCCAAACCTGCCTCCCTGCACCTGGGCCCAGCCCTCTCTCTGGCCCACTCCAGCGCCCTTCCGGCCTTAGTTTCCACATCTGTGAGGCAGGACCGTGCCCTGAGGGTGCTGTGGTCCTGACCTCAGAGAGAGACCTCTGACCGCGGCCAGTGTCCCTGCGGCACAGCACAAGCCACCTTCATGCTGTCACCCTGGGACCCTCTCCCAGCTCTGGGATGTGGGGCCCCCCTCACCTTTTGCAAATGAGAAAACTGAGGCTCCTGTGACCTGACAGCCCTGGCTTCCCTCACACACTTGCCTTCCTGCTGTCCCCAGCGGACTGACGGTCTCTCCTTCCTCCCTCCCTGCACAGGGCAGTGGCAGCGATGACACGGAGCTGCGGTACTCGTCCCAGTATGAGGAGCGCCTGGACCCCTTCTCCTCCTTCAGCAAGCGGGTGCGTGAAGCTGGCTTCAGGCAGGGGAGGGGTATGCTTGGCTGACCCTGTTCTGCGCAGGCCCCAATCATTCAGTCACCCCTCCCCTTGTCCCGACCCCACCAGCCTGTCCATCCCCTCCTGCCCAGCCTCGCTGTGCCTGGTCCTGCACACCCCAACCTCTATACCTATTCTGGCACATGGAAGCCCAGGCTGGCCCAGAGCAGGCATCGGGAACAGCTGCTGGTAGCTACATGAGGGCATGTGTCGGGGAACAAATCAACACCAGGCATGCACTCGGGGGGCAAGAGACAAGCAAAGAGCCAGGCACAGCACCCAGTGTCCGGGGACCCATGGTGGGGCCCACCACCTAGAGCTTCCCTCGTCCCATGTATTGGGCTGTGGAAGTCCTGATGGTGAAGAACATTCCCACAGGCAGAGCCGTCAATAGAATGGGCCGGCGCACAAGGGACAAGTGGGAGTGGGCACCTGGGGAGGCCCCTGGCAGCCCCTCTAGGATTCTGGGAATGGCGGGGCAGGGCCTGTGGGGCCCTCTGGGGTCCTCTCCTCCTCATCCCTTCCCCTTCAGGAGCGGCAGAGGAAGTACCTGAGCCTGAGCCCCTGGGACAAAGCCACCCTCAGCATGGTAAGTCCTCTGCCCTGTGCCCACCCAGGACGGGCCTGAACATGCCACTTGCCCTCCAGTCCAGTCTGGACAAGCCCAAGGGACCTCAGTGGCCCCTCACAGGTCCTGCCCATTGTGGCTGTGTGACCTGGGACAGAGTCCCTCCCCCTCCCGACAGCTCCTACCATTCTCAGTAGGTCCTGGAGTTGGGCTGCAGGGAGTGCCATCCCTTAGAATTCCTTGTAGCCCAAGTTCACCACCTGTGATGGTGGACTGTGGACCCAGCTGCCTGCTCCTTCCTTCCCCTTGCTGCCCTGGGCCTTCTCTGCCTGAGCAGCCCTGTAGGAGTGGGTGAGGCCTGCCCCACCCCACCCCACTCCATACCTTGGTTGTTCCCCAGGGGCGGCTGGTTCTCTCCAACAAGATGGCACGCACCATCGGCTTCTTCTACACACTCTTCCTGCACTGCTTGGTCTTCCTGGTGAGTGCCTGGTAGGCTGACAGGGGTGCATTCACCACTCTCCCCAACCTTCAGGGGCAGCAGAGACCTTGTTTCTGTGGCTGAAACAGTGCCTGAGGGAGGACCTGGCACCCAGGCCTGCCCAACCCACACCATCGGCTTGTGGCCATTTCTCTCTCCTTCAAGGGCTTCACCCGCCCTGAGGACTAGGAGGGCTCCCCATCTGCCCTTCGCCCGGGGCACGAGCTGCCTGCCCTGTGGAGAGGCTCAGGTGACTCCATCCAGGGCCCAGCCAGGGAAGGGCTTGGTAGGGGGAAGGGCCCCGCGGGAGCGTGAGGCATGAGGAGAAGCTGGTCCAAGTCCACCAGGGGACATCCAGGGGGCTGCCAGCAAAGGGGACATAGTTGGTGGTACAGTATGTGCAGAGGCCTAGCGACGCCTGCATGTCACCGTGCCTGTTGAAGGCACCAGCCTCAGGGACCCTGCCCCCAACCAGGCCACAGTCAACATGACCCCTACTGGGCTCACCTGGGCTCCAACGCCGGCTTGGATAGAAGCCCAGGGTCCAGCAGGTCCCGGCCCTGCCAGTGGCATGCCCAGCAATGTTAGGGACGGTGACTCCATGCTGGGCCTCTGACCATCTGTGAAGCAGGCAGCACAGGAGTGGCTTGATGGCCCCCCCACTACCCTGGGCCTGGGCCACGGGAGCCTTTGTGCCCTGGGAGACTGCAGGAGTGGCTGTGAGGCAGGGTGGGCAGCTCACGGTATCCCCACCCCCAACAGGTGCTGTACAAGCTGGCATGGAGCGAGAGTGTGGAAAGGGACTGCGCCACCTTCTGTGCCAAGAAGTGAGGATGCCACCCTGGGCCCCGGCACCACCCTGGGACCGCCACCTAGTTCCTCCATTAAGTCTCCTGCTGCCCCAGCCTGCCACCATGGGCCCCAATTCTGAGCCCCCTCAGCTCCCACCCTGTCACATGCTGTACCCCTTCTCCGCAATCCCAGAGAGCTCCCTGCCCCCCTCCTCCCACACACACATTTCTCTCCTTTTTTCAGTCAGTCTCAGCAAAGGTTTCTGTGGCCCCACAGGTTCGCCGACCACCTGCACAAGTTCCACGAGAACGACAACGGGGCAGCGGCCGGTGACTTGTGGCGGTGACATCTGGGGCCTCCCCCACGTGACAGTGATGGCTGCATTCCCCACCCCTGCTTGCTCAACTGCTTCTAATCACTTAGGCTTCCCTGGAGATAACCCCTTGGAAACTGTCCTTGCCCTGGGCTCTCCTTGAAAGAATGTCTCAGCCATACCAGACCCCCAAGTCCATAGAAACCCCAATGCCCAACCAGGCTGAGCCCAAGGGGCCCCCTCAGGCCCCATCTCAGACCTGACTTAGGCTCGACCCACAGCCTCACCTCCGGCCCTGGTGGCAGAGACCTCCCAGTCATGACGCTGGTTGAGTGACCACTGCTTCTGCCATGGGTAATGGAGTTTGGATTCCCAGGGCTCTGGGATCTCCTTGGGTTCCCCTGGGCCACCCCCTAAGAGGTGGAGGGCCCTTTTCTTTCCAGGCCAGCAGGCTGTAAGTCCAGCCGCCACCTGCCTTTGTCACTGAACACCAAACATAAGGTCTGACAAGGCCTGGTCTGCCCACTGCCCTCCTCGCCCCCAAGAAGAGGAAGAGCCTGAGAGGGCGGATCTGTTTCTGTTACCCTTCCCTGTTTCCAAGACCCACTGTGATTTTTGCTTTTTTCTTTACATGACATTCTGGCTTTTAGGTGAGGAGGAATCCCCAGTGAGCCCCATGCCCAGTGCTCCTCAGACCCAAGGACGGGTCTGAGAGGCTGAGTCCTCCCAGTCAAGCAGAACTGGCCGTGGGCCATCCTAATAGGGCCACCTCGGGGCCACTGGGTGACCTTCCTAAATTAGAGCTGTGACTTGCGCTTTGAGCTTTGCACATTTGGAATAAACACATGGTTGCAGCCATACTGGATGCCCCAAGCTCTGTGACTCTGGGGCTGCCCTGGGGGTTGGGAGGCTGGTGGGTGCCTGCAGCGCCACCCGGGGAGCTGGGGCTGGAACTGCAGCTGCTCTGTTGATGTGGACATGGCCCCCGGCACACTGGAGGCCTCACCCCCTCTTCCTGTTATTCCCACAAGTGGATCTGGAGCTTTGTTAAAACCCAAACCCACAAATTCTGAGTTCTCTTGAGCAGACAAGCAACCCTATCAAAGGGAGAAATCCATTCCTCTATTCAAAAATGCCTGTCACACCGGTGGCTACAGCTGGGTGAGTCTATGTCAGCTCCTGGGGAATCCCTGCTTCCCTTCTTGTTGGCCCTGGGCCATCCTCTCAACATCTAGAGTGTGCCCCTTGCCTTTGGGCCCCTGTATGCCACCAAGCCCCCTGAGTGCCAGCCTTGCAGCAGAACTGCCCTAAGCCACAGGTTCTGGGTGCCTCACCCCCAGACCAGCCCCTTCATGTGAGTCCTCTCAGACCCAGAGGGAGGAGTGCTTCCTCTTGGTCTGTGGTGGCTGGTGTTAAACCCTACTGCCCAGGTAGCCCACAAGGCTGGCTCTAAACCTTGCGGTCCCACCAGGCCACAGTCCCCCTGAGCTATCTCTGTCTCAATCTTAGTCCTGAACAGCCTAGAGCTTGTGCGTCCAGGGGTCCTATCCCCAGCACCCCTCATCGTCTACTCCAACAGAACAGCTTCCAGCCCAGATGGACCTGTTGTCCCTGACCCCATTCCTGTTGCCCCATGACAGCTGCTCTTGGCCAATCACGCTCCCCTGCACCCCCCTCCCCTGCCCCCGCCCCACCACTTCCACATCTCCCACCAGTTCCTCCTTGTGGGTCAGAGTCAGTAGGCAGCCAGCCCCTCCTCACTTCCTCCTCCCTGGGGACCAGAGCTATTGTCCTGCCCAGAGCTTCACACCCAGGACCTCCCTGGCCACTGGCAGCCCACCAGCGGAGCTCAGCCCACCAAGCTGACCAGGTTAGTCCACCGTGAGCCAGGCTCTCCCTCTCTCTTCCAGAGGGTAGGGTCCACAGCCAGGCCACCCAGGGTGTGGAGCCTGCTTCCCTGCCCCCTACACACCACTCCCGGCTCATTCATAGCTCTCCTGGTTCCCAGCCAGGCGTCCAGGCCTGTGTGCAGCGCCAATCGATGGCTGGGCCACCGCCTAAGATTTCATTAAGTGTTTGCTGGCCAGGGCCTGTGGGGAAGCAGCTGAGATGTGTGTGGGAGGGAAGGGGCTGGGTACCAGGGCCCCAGACAAGGCCTGTCTTGCCTCTTGTCCCCTGGAGGGCAGTGCCAGGGCTGGTACACAGGGGGTGGGGACTTCAGGCCTGTCTCCACCTTCACCCACCCACTGTGCCTCTCTAGGCTCCCACCTTTTCCATTTGTAAGGATAAAAACCCTTGCCTGTCCTGCTTGCTGGGAAATGAGAGATGTGAAATGGCTTTGGGGAAGGTTAAAGGGCTCTCTACAAAGATCAGAGGTCACTGTGACTGGGGGAGGGCAACAGATGGAGACACTCCAGGCTAGCAGAGAGATCGTGGCAGACCACAGAGCTGCCAGAGGGGTTGGTGAGAGCAAAGAGGCTGTCCTAACTGCCTGCAGGGGACTGAGGGCATGGCAGGGGCAAGGCAGGAGCACAGGGAAGACAGAGCTCAGCATCCCCACTCTTCCTGAGAAGCACCTCTGAGCCATCCACTTCCACACCTGATGCCCATACTCCTCTCAGACCCCTTCCAGGCCTGCAGGAGCCCCCTCTTCGTAGAAGCCCTTAGGGGACCGCCGACACCAGAGGTCAGACCACAAGTTCCCCAAAGGCCAGCAGGACTCCTGGTTTTCTTGGCTGGACTCATCTTTGCCCTAACCTAAGCCTCCATTAGGGCTGGGTCTCCAGCAGACCAGGAGTCAGGAAACGAGGCCTGGGGCACCCCATGACCTCGAAGTTCTCCCCATCGCGGTGAAGGCTGGGAGGTGGGAATCGTGCTCAGGAGGGATTCCCCTCCCTGTGGTCCCGGGGTGATTTCCTGACTGCGAGGGCTGGAGAGAAGGGGCGTAGTGCTCGCCCTCCGGATTTATTAGAACCAGACGTCGACTTCCCCGTTGCGACATCTGGGCCTCCCCGAAGCTCCCATTGTCCCCGCGGCGTAGGGTCTGGTCACAGCAGCTCTCCCTGAGTGGCGCCCATCATCCAGGAGCGCTCCGTGGGCGTCCACGCCCCACACACCCCACCGCACAGGCCACCCACCTGGCCCCCACCCGCCGCACTGTCGGGGGGGCCACTACTCCAGGCTCGGGAGACACCTCTGCGCTATGACTCCCGGAACTCGCTCATCGCCCCCTCACAGCCTGCATTAGCCGGGGGGGGGGGGGAGGTCCGACGCCTGGCCTTGTGCCTACATTGAGCGCTGGGAAGGGGATCGAGGCCAGCTGCCTAACTCCTTGAGCCCCAGGCTTAGCCCTCCGCCGTAGCCACGGATGCCAGTAGGAAGCGAGCACCAGGTGCCGG